CAGTTTGCAGGATTTATCGAATCACGAGCACCTCCTCTTCATCTGGGGGAAGCTGACACTTATCTCATTCTTCAGGTTTTCTCCTGATTGTTTATCTCTTCCACGACGCCCTGATCAGTAAGTGAGACTACTCTGCTCGTGGGACAGCTGGACATTATATGCCGTAACCATGACATTTGAAACATTTCTTGGCCGGTACAGTATTGAAGGCGCTACCTTTCTCATGCTTCTCGTTCTTATTCGGATTGTTATTCCTGTGTTCGGGATGGCTAGTCTCTCCTGTGATGCCCTTGTCAGTTGTGGTGGTTTCTTGTCTGAAGCTTGTTGCCTAAAGGATGGTTGTTACCTGTTTTGCATCTGTTGTCTTTCCACCTTCAATGCTAATGTTTGGACATCCCTTAGTATCCAATATGGCGCAATTGTACCACATTTCAGATAGCGGGTTTCAGACCCCTAAGTTATCTAACTATCATATATTTTTTTGGCTCCATCAGCTCACATTTAAGTTGCAAGTGGTCTAATTGGGTTGTGAATTCCTCAACTGAAAGATCCTCTACTGCATGTTTTGGAATTTCATAAACATATATTGGCGATAGTGGGGTGGGAGGTATTTTTTCTACATCACCTTCTTTATCTTCTCCCACCAAGTTATCTTCTCACTGCATTATCTTTTCCTCTGCTTTTGTAGAGGAGGTATTTTTTTTGTTTAATGGTTTTTCTGCCATAAAGAGGTTTTTTTTTAGTTTAATGGCAAATAGCTTGACTCTTTTGTCCTCTGGTACATCTTTATATTCAAAAATTTGTTCAATTGATTACAGCAGTCGATAAACTTATCATGATCCATATCTCCCTCAAATTCTGGGAGGTCCATCTTGATGTTAAAGGCGCACTACCTCCCATAACTAACATCTTCTCTCAACCTTCTTTGGTATTGGGTATCAGAACGACGTGGTCGATATTCCTCGTCATTGTGATCTTCCCTGAGGAACGGATTCAAATCCTTGTCTTTGTCTTCCTCTCGACTTTCGCAATCACAATTGAAGGTAATCTCTTCCTGGTTCTGCCATCCAACTCGGCTGGTCTCTGTTGCGGACTATGAATTTCTCGTTGAATCTCTTCTCGGGTCGAGTCCAGTGTTTCTCTTCATGGTGGCATGGTTAGAACTGGGAATCAGAAGGAAAAAAATTAATGGAGGTTCATTAGGTAGAGGCGAATGCTAGAAAATCCTAGGATGGGACTAGCGTGGGCTAGTCTAATACCAATGATATCAGAACTAGTAGGAAGAATAATGGAAACACAAAAGCAAACTTTCATTAATATTAAAATAGGGTTACAACATGATTTGAACGGAAATAACAACACAAAACATAAAACGACACAAGCAAACACTACTAAATGTATCCCAATGGGTGATGGAGGTCGGCTAGAAGGATTTAGATGATTGGTAGGGCTACGAAAGCCACAGGAGGCGGGTGGTAGCGAATGGAAGTTGCATAACTATATGAACAACAAGTGGGAATGGTTGTAGGTGGTCGACAACGGTAATATGATGGTTGGGAGAAGCTAAAAGGAGTTAGGGAGGCGGGAAAATAGTAATAACCTACATGAAGGGGGAATGGCTGGGTGTCGGGGTGATGGAAGGAGAGTTCGGCGGCTGAGGAGTGGGGTGGAGAAAGTTTGGAGAAGGCAAAAAGGGAGGATACAAACAATACCTTGGAAAGGATACAGTCGAAGCACTTTCACCTTCTCAGATACAGCTCACAAAGGGGAAAAGAACTCCACACAGGAATTTGAGAACAAACACAAACACTACTGACGCCTACACACACAAAGCCCGTAATTTATAATCTCCCAAGATACTTCTACACAAAAAAAATGTGGGAAGGCGAGAAGAATCCAGAAAAAACCTTTACCGAAACTTCTACACAAAGGTTCGCGGGACATCGCATGAGAATCTAGATCCTGCCTCGCCTGCAGTTCCTGTGAGATTTTGCGGGTTTGCTAGCCCGGGGGATCGAAGCGCCCAGTATTGGGGCGCAGTATGGGTGCTGATTTCAGCATCTGCGTCAATAAGAGTCGAGAACTTTTCATCATCAGTTACAATAGCTTCTTTTTCGCTAGACTTATCAGACAGCAACAATGCAACAACTGGATGTTAAATTTTTTTTTTTTTTTTTTTTTTTTTTTTTTTCAATCAAGTCAACTGCCTCCTTACATGGTTCATTCTTACAATGTTTGGAATGACTTGGCTTTAGAATATAAAATCATGAAAAGGATGTTGTCGTATTGATGGAGCATTTGTATGTTATCGTAGCAGTTTGCAATGGAAAACAAGGGTAAAAGATCTTCTAGATTTATTATTTAAAACCAAGGGCCGTTTATACCTTAAAGATTTTAGGATTCTGAATAGGTTGTCCTAAGCCATTGAACCTATTAAGTGTTTCCTCATTGTTTTAGGGAACATGCAAAGATATAGTACATTGTTATTTGAAAGAAACCGTTAAAATATTGAAAAAAATTAATGTTCTGTTTTTTTACTTTCTTCTTCGTGATTTTAGGCCATCTGAACATTCAAATGCATATTTCTGAACTTGCAGCTTTTGGATGAAATGATGGACAATGGTTTTCCTCTGACAACAGAACCAAACATATTGAGGGAGATGATAGCCCCGCCAAATATTGTTAGCAAAGTTCTGAGTGTTGTCACTGGTAAAAGTTCAAATGTTAGCAATATACTTCCAGATTCAACTGCTTCATCTGTTCCATGGCGAAGGTCTGACCTAAAGAGTTCAAGTACTGAAGTTTATGTTGATCTCATCGAGGAATTGGATGCAATTCTGAGCAGGTTAGGATAAAATTTTCTTTTAATTTATAATGCAACTCATATTCTATGTGGTATTCGGCATTTTGAGTTTTTTTCTCATGTGCTAGTGATTGAGCTGTAGATTTGTTGTATTTTGTCATATTAACCTTTTTTCAGATTTGGCAGCGTCTTTATTGAACATTTTTCAACCATATTAATTCGTTTTTCTTATGCTGATATTTTTCTGCAGTATCTCTAAATAGTTGGGAGAAATCTAATGATGTTGATAATATTCATTGGTATAACAGTATCTGTTTTTTTTTCAATTGCATGTGCATGAATTTGATTTATTGCATCATGTTTTCTCCCACAGTTTATTAGAAAAATTACGTGTCATTAGATTTTTTTTCTTTTCCGTATTTGTATTTTTAATAGCCTTTAGCTTGGTAGTAGCTTTTTTGTCACTGTTAAATTCTATTGTCCTTTAGAAGTAATCTTGTGTTATGGTGTATTTGAAATTGAGTCTTTATTGTAGTTAGCATCATCAGCTTATCCACTCAGCAGCACCTACGTTTGCCAATGGAATCATGATGTGGACAGTAATACACTACATCGTGATCTCTTGACGCTCATGTTTCCGTTCATTTTTCTCTTTTTTTATTTTAATATTTGCTTAAAATATTGAAATCTAGATTGGCTTGAAGCGATTACTTTTTGTTCTCTGTTTACCTGCTTTGCTTGGGCGCTTTTTTCCTGCGACATGTACTACTTAATGTGTTAGTCAAGTTGCATTGAGCATGGTAATCTCATGTTGAATGTTCTAGGGTTTACTATTTTTTTAATGTAGATCTAGTAGGTAATGCAGAGTTGATGCAATCAATTTATGCAAGAAACATGTGAATTTCACGATAAAACAAGTTGTTCATCCCAAACACATTGAGAAAAGAAAATAGATATTCCAATTCCAATAGTATGATCTTGGCACCTTCTTGATAAAAATTAATCCGTAGGAAATTAAAAATCCTGAAAAACTAGGAATTTGAGATTTTCTGCACAAAAAGAGACCAGACTATGAAATACTATAAAAGATATGTGGAGAGATGAGAAACAATTTATTGAGAGGCAAGGTTCACACTTGGACATGAATATAATCCTCAAAATGCTTCAGGTATCATGATTAAGAATTATATTTCTGAAATAAGATATGGTGAACGAGTATGCCTTATGTTGATTGATAGAAAATTTGAATATCCTTTGAAAAGGATTAGTTTTTGTTGTCACTATTCCGAGGGTTTTAAATTAGCAAGATGAGAACAAACAATCGAAAGAGCTTTTAACCCCAAGTATATGAAAACCGGACCAGACATTGAACCGGTAGGAGTGGTTCAAGGTTCAAAGGTTGAACCGGAGGCCCAACTGAATGACTTAATAAATCATAAATGTATCTGAAAATGACAATGCATGCGATTTACACCCCACTCAATTCATATGTATTTAAATAACTAACACCTAACATTCAATTTTAACATGTCATTTTATCTATGCATGAAAACATGTATTTCACTTTTTAAAAGTTAAAATAGTGATATTTTTTATGTGATATGGATAATATTGGGGATAATCTTGGTGGTATAAATATAAAATAAAATGAGTTTAGGTGTTAGATTTATAAATAAATAAAATTGAGTGGTATGTATGTAAATTGACTTTCTCTGTAATAATGATTTTTTTTTTGATGTCATATGAGTGATTTGAGTGATATAAATGTAAAAAATAGATTTTAGGTGTTTGATATGACAAATACATAAAATTGGGTGGCATGTATTTAAATGCCCGTGAACCGAACGATTTCTTAGAACGGTAGACAGTTTGTCGGTTCAAGGGTTGAATTGCCGGTTCAACCCGGTTCTGGGCGGTTCTGTGTGGGAGGAGTTTTTTATGCCAACTGGAACCAGACCTATGGCCAGTTTACGGCCGAACCGGTCGATCCAAACCAATTTTCTAAACCATGATTAAGCCCATAAATTCAAATTCAATTTAAAAGTAAAATAATTATGAATGAATATGAATATAATTACCTTGCTCTTGCTTGGCTAAATCTTCTATAAGCTTTTTATTTTCTATCACTCATTTTCTAGTGGAAAGCTTAAACTTAAAATGTTAGTTAGTCAAAATGATTTATTAATAATTCAATAGATATTTATGCTTTTAATTATAATAATGTAATAAATGTGTTTGTGGGCCTTTAATTATAATAATGCAATAATAGTTGTGCATGTGTGTGCGCGCTTTTAATTATAATAATGTAATAACTGGGTGTGGGTGTGTGTGTTGTGTGGCTGATGGTGTGTTGAAGTCACTTGCAGGAGACGACACATAACGTGGTTAAGAAGAGATCCATTGCAAAGCTTGCGTCCAATGCGCTTGTTGAGATTGCTATCGCGTGCATCTAAAGCAGGAGTGAGGAGTGCTCGTGCACTCAGGAGGAAGATTTTGGGCTCAGGAGACGTGTCGTGGCGTCGTCTGAGTGTGTTGTGGGTTTGGAAGTGAGCCTTATGTGTGTCAAGTGCGAAAAAGAAGAGTGGGAAGACTCGCATGTTGGCAAACAATGAGAGTTATTGCGGGAAGGGTGACCGAACATTATAAATTATAAACAAATTCCTAATTTCTTGATTTAAAAAATATCAACATACATTAAGTTAAGAATTTAAAGAATCATTTTCTTAAATCCTTAAATGTTAATGTAAATTTTCTAATTATTAATGTAAATATTATCGTCTCAATTTAACTTTCAAGATTATATATATTCCATTAATCATTAATCATTCATCATCAATAATACTCATTAATATAAAACATCAACGTAATAAAAAAATTCTAACCTTAGTGGTTGCTCGAGCTCGTGCACTTGGGCAGGCCATTCATGCTTGTTACTCTATCTCGCACCGGTCCAAGTGATGATTGTGTGTCGTTGCTTTTGGTTTTTCTTTCTAGCTCTTTCTTGGTTCGACTGCTCTTTATTTGCACAACACTTTGTCTTGTGCTTGTTGGAATGTTGCATGTTTGTGTTAGGCGTGTGTTATGGTGCATGCCTCTACTTTATCTTCTGCATGAAAGTTTTGGAGGTTGATGAAAATTCTTTGGCTATTAAATGTTTCTTGGATGATGACGAATAATTTATAGATGATGAAAATAAACTCAAGATATTCAAAGCTAGATTAGATATTGAATTGGAAGAAGATGAGTTTCAAAGTTTGAAGTTGGAATCTCAAGTTGAACTGAATGATATAATATAATATTAAAGCTATTGAAATATGACTTATAGGACAATAATATTGCAATATAAGAAAAAAATTAAGAGAACTATATTATGAAATATAGAAAATACAAAGTATATATTCTATAGTTTTAAATTTGAGATAACTCAATATTTAAGTGGCTAACTTTTCTCTTATTGCCGCAAGTAAAATTCAGATGATTCTTTGAAATTTTCTATTCCCTTTAGGAAATTGATGGGCTACAAAAGAAGTGGAAATAAGAGAGCCTAAAAAAAAAAAGATATATAATTAAATATGAGAAGTAAAATAACACTTTACTCCCAATTGCATAAATATATTGCTAGATATATTAAACATTATTTAATTTCAATGAAAATGTTTATAAATTATAATATTTATGATTATCAGCTTTTGATTTCTACCATAAAGAGTGTCAAACACAAATAATATAGTCTATGATCAAGCATATATAAACTTTATCTCATAAGTTGCCTGCCCCAAAACTGCGTCCTTATTGGTTCTCTCCAAAAGTTTTCAAATCATCACGGCGAAGTATTCCATTTGTAGCACCACTACATTTATCCTCTTTGACAATTCAAATCTTTAAATATGGTTTTTTTTGTGTATTTGAATATTCAATTTAATATCATTAGGAATTTACTGTGAGCGTGCGTATTGCATGTTATGTTAGATTCTTCAATGATAGAAATAGCATCTTCTATGTTTTCATCAATCATAAAAAAGTTCTACTGTCTTAATGCTTGTGTGATCCAACAATCATATTCTTTTTCTTAATGTGTAACTTATAAAACGGACATGGAATTTTTTAATTTCAAATATTCATGGTGGCAAAAATAATAAAGGAGAATTACAATCAAACAGCATTTTTTTATTGTGCAACTCGTAAAATGAACACTGAATTTTTGAATTTCGAATAATCATGGTGGCATATAAAAAATAGAACTACTATTGAAGATTTAAGTTCTCTCACTATGTTGGTTCTACATTGTCCTCTCGTGTCCCCATTTTTTTTTTTCGATTTAAGTTCCAAATTTTCTTACATTTAATGATGAAAATCATATGCAATTTTTTTATATATGAATTAATGTCCCTTAACCCAAATAAAATGTTATTTTATCTTATTTTTATATCCACCTTCGTATAAAACTCTAGTTTAGTACTTATATTATTTCTTTCCTTCACAACTTTTAGATTCATTAAAATAATTCCATATGGAATCCTTTTTTTTAACGAATACTATTTGATTAAACAAAAATGCTAATAAAAAAAATATTACACTTAAATAAGGATAAAAAAAGAAGGAAGATTTGCAGTTGAATATATAAATCATAGTTAAATTGTTAAACTCTAAGAACTTAACTGGTTACTTTAGAAGAAAACAATAACTAGGAAGAGAAGCAATCAGTCTCAAATAGAAATTTATAAGTTATAGAGTAAAATACTGAAGTCAGTTCCTTGCAATCTCTAACAATATTACTTAGCAAACGAATGACTCAGATGCAAATGCTTGCACAATGTACAACAAACTTCAACTCCTTCAATAAGAAAGTTGAGAAACCTAAGGGCGGGCACAAGTGAAAGAGAGTTGATTGGAGTGAAGGATGTCTTTTGGGTGCGACTTAGGGGGTGGTTAGGTGAAGGTGTCTAGGGGCAGCACTGAACGGAAGGCCAAATGGAAGGGGCAGCACTGAACGCAAATTGAAAAGTTCTTGTGAGATCTATGGCTTAGAGAAAATAGGGATTTTGGTTCGTATACGTTTAGGTAGTTTTTTCATATATATTGTTTTTCTTTCCAGCTATTTGATCATAATCATTTGGCCATAAATCAATACTTTTAGAATGACGGGTCCTTTGAAACCCCAGTTGGTTCACCAACAGAACCATCTTCCAACTAGTTCGGTATGAGAGTGGTTTTTGGTGCGGACTGAATCTGTTGAAGGATCGGTTTGCGATCAGATAGATTGGGCCGACTGATTTGATCCTGTTTTAAAAATACTGAATTGAGTTTCACCATTATAAATGCGAGAGAAAGATCTTAATATAGACTTTTTAATGAAGAAAAAAGAATAGTATTGCTCTAAAATAAATAATAGAATTAGCCAGTGTAAACTTTTATGTACTAGAAATCATAATTATTGTTTTCAATAATATTTTTAGTGGATTGTATAGATTAAGAAGAGGTAGATGATTGAGATTGAATTTGATGAAGGAGAATGGGAGAATGTTGATAGAAGTGAGGGTGAGAAGGTGAGAAAGCTGTCCAACTATGATATTAATTTTAGTTTAAGACTAAATAATGGAATTGAGACAAACTTCTAAATTCAGACTCGCATGTTATCAAACAGTCAAATAATCAAAACACCTATATTTACTTTACATCTAAATTACTTCAAAACAAACATCAATTAATATTTTAATTTTGAGATTTACTCCTCGAAAAGCCTTAAACCTTATGTCTTGTTTTAAATACTCAATTGCTCAACTTTAAACCTACGATCATTCCTTCATTTTGCAAATGTACAGCAATATCTAATATTTTATATGCGTTTAAATTAAAACCAAATTATTACTGCTTTACTGCTGGCTTTTTTTGTAAGCCGGAGTCTGTCCTTAAAAATCATTATTCTATTCTTAGCATTTTCTAGCAACTTCCAACATTATGGGTTCATGCAACTGTATAAGTGATCATCATTCCTGTACTAATTTTTTTACTGAAATCTCCTTATTTATCTCTTTCTCGTTTTATGGTCTTCTGACAATCCTTAGGTCATGAGTAGTTAAAATGCTTCCTTTTTCTTCAGAGAAGGGGTTCTGTCCAAATGCGAAGTGTATGGCGAAGTTCACGTTAATTCACACCTGCCTGGTTTTCCTGACCTGACACTATCCTTCGCAAATCCCAACATATTAAATGACGTGAGATTTCATCCCTGCGTTCGGTTTCGGCCATGGGAAGGCCAACAAATCCTTTCCTTTGTACCTCCAGATGGAGAATTCAAACTAGCAAGCTACAGGTTGGTAAAACCTTCATTTCCAGCTTGAGAAGGTGTCAAAATAGGCCCCTGATTGTTTACCTGAGGCCATTTTAGTCCCGGAGTTTGTAAATTAATCCCTACTCTTTAAACTAGGGACTATTTCAACCCATTATGAAAGATTATGGGGGACTAAATTATCACTTTTATAAACTTTGGGAGTAAAATGACCCTGCAATGAGTTGGAGACTATTTTGACACTATTTCTAATTTCAGTTTTTTTTTTTTTTTTGGCTTTCCCTTTTCACTGTTTCTTATTCTACATCTTAAATAATGAATTATTGTTAGTTCGCAGGGTCAAAAAGCTCAAGAACTTACCTATCTATGTGAAACCTCAACTTGCCTCAAATTCTGGTAATTGCCGCGTTAATTTGTTGGTGGGTGTGCGCAATGATCCTGGTAAAGTTATTGAGGACATAACAGTACAGTTTCAGCTTCCTTCTTGCGTGGATTCTGTGGATGTTTCCTCAAACCATGGAACAGTAAATGTTCTTGCTAACAAGGTTAGCAGATGTTCTCGCTCTTTAGTGTTGCAATTTCTAAAATTAGAATTTGGGTGTAACAACTAATTGGCTTCTGAGCTTGTTGTGTGCCAGAAGATTCGCAACTATAGGTTGATAATTTAACATTTTAGCATTGAACGGAGGTCCAACATTGATAAATGAAAAGTAGTAGGAGAAGACACCGAGATTTTTATGTGAAAAACCTTGACAGGGGAAAAGGCACGAGGTCTAACCAAATCAAAGTATCCCACTATATAATTGCAAGTACATAGGAGTACTCCTCTACTGAATTAGAGAATAAAATTACAAAGCTAATAGACACAGATGTACAATAGTAGTTTAGGTATAATGGTCATAATTAAATTACAACAAATACGATTTTTAGCTGTAATAGAATAGGTAGCCACAAAGGCCGTAGTTGGTTGCTATAAAGGCAGTTGTTGGCCATAAAGTCTGCAGTCGGTAGCTACAATAGCGGCAGTTGACCACTAAGACCGAAATTGGAAACTGTGATAGTAGTAGTTGGTTATAAAGGTCGTAGTTTATTGCTGCAAAGACAGTAGTTTGTCATAAAGACTGTAGTCGATAGCTGCAATAACTGAAGTTGGTCACAGTGTTTGTAATTAGAAATTGTAACAGTAATAGTTGACCACAAATATCATTGTTGATTGCTACATAGACATCGGTTATTTTATCTACTCTTTTACTGATTTAGAGAAGATAAAATTACAAAGCTGATAGTCACATATTTATAATAGTAGTTTAGCTATAGTAGTCTTAATTGGGTTACAAAAAATGTGTTTTTTGGGTGTAATAGCAATAGTTAGCCACAAAGGCTGTAATTGGGGCACTTGTTGGCCATAAAGGCTGCAGTCAGTGACTGCAATAGCGACAGTTGACCACGAAGACTGAAATTGGAAATTGTAACAATAGTAGTTGGTCATAAAGGATCATAGTTCGTTGCTACAAAGACAGTAGTTTGTCATAAAGGCTGTAGTCGATGGTTGCAATAACTGGAGTTTGTCATAGTGACCGTAATTGAAAATTATAATAGTAATAGTTGACCACAAATGTCATAGTTGATTGTCACATAGACATTAGTTGAACTACAACGATTGAAAACAGGTCACTGGCAATCAACAGTAAGCGGCGACAGGAGATGACAACTGGCAATCGACAGTGATCTACAGGCCATAGTCGATGGTGGTCGGCAGCTACGAAGGTCAGTGGTTATCGTTGGGTCTTCAATATGTGTTAGATGCAACAACCGCATTTGGAATACAACAGTTGCAAATAGGGGTCGACAACGACCGACTGTGGTTGGCGGCTACATAGACTGGTGATTATCATTGGTTATTCTCTATTGAACAAGCTATGGAATTTCTCTTATTCTTCTTCTCTTCCTCAAGTGAAGAGGAGGTTTATTTATAGCCTCTTGGGGAGGGGCATTTTGGACTTTTGACGTATAACTTTCATAACCATCTGATCAGACGGTCCCTATCAATCACTCTTGATCATAAATAATTTTTTAATTAGTTAAGTGTCTTAATGACCTCTGAATTTAGTGATACTGGGCTTGTTAGATTTTTTTTGTCAAGACACTTGATTCGACTCAAAATATATCAAGAGTTTATTTGACCATCAAACGACATCTTAATGACCTCTGAATTTAGTGATACTGGGCTTATTAGATTTTTTTTTTCAAGACATTTGATTCAACTATAAATATATCAAGAGTTTATTTGACCATCAAACGACAATCAAAGTCTCAAATTATGCTTTAACAGCTTGATCTTGGTTTGATTGTAGTCGGCTTAGATTAATTTTGATATCATTGGGTTCATCTTGTTGTAATGATCGGTGTGATTATAAACTTACTGAAATCGGGGACTGAATGATCTTAAATTTAAATTTGTAAGATTCCTTGTAAAAAAGGCATCAAGATTTTTGTTTGATAAAATTCTGTTGATGACGCAGCAAATCTAGGGGCGAGCTTGAGTCAACCTTATCTCGACTCGCCGACTCGCCAATTGGCTTCTTTAAAAGATATTAATAATATAATACATCTAATATATTAAACTTCTAAGATTGCAGCTTAAAACTATTAAAAATAGAGGGATTTGCGTATGTATCACATAACGCCTTTACGTTTATTTATCCAACTCCTGAACTTTGATATTTACGTATATAACACTTGACCATCTTAATTACAGCAAAACATAAGCGTGAGAAGCTGTGTATCACTCTAGTAATATTAATTTTAGTTATAGTTTTGATTTAATGTTAAACATTTGAGTGATAGTTAAGAAAATTGTAAAAATTACGTGTTAGATATGCAAGCAAATAAGAGTTGTGGTATGTTCGTAAATTCCTCTTAAAAATTTTGAAAAAATGTATTTCTTCTTCTTATTCCAAGTGATTTTTATTATTTATATGAGTTTATTATAACAGCTGTTTGTATATGATGTGCAACATGCAGAACTGCTTGTGGTCCATTGGGAGAATTCCAAAGGATAGATCGCCGTCACTTTCTGGCAATCTTGTGCTTGAACCGGGCCTGGACCGGTTGCACGTGTTTCCTGTTTTCCGTGTGGGATTCAGAATTGTTGGGATCGCTCTCTCTGGCTTGCAGATAAATAAGCTGGACATAAAGAACACCACAGCTCGTCTACACAAGGGTTTCAGAGCTGTCACTAGAGCAGGAGAATATGAGGTGAGATCCTGATCAAGCCACTACAATGATTCAATTGATGTTATTATGACAATTCAACGAAGGAATTATTTGATTGGGCTTCTATATAAAGTAATTAGTGATTTTGTTGTCAAAAAAGTTTTATATATATATATATATATATATATATATATATTGGCAATGTTTGTGCTGTCTACCGTGACTCTTTGGTTGATAGAATTTGCAAGACCCCTGGTGTCCCAGGTTCCATCTCGTCTATGTGCGGAATGATGTTCCTAGGATCATGAGGTGGGTCGAGAGGCTCATCTAATAGCCTCTGGCCAATCATTA